CACACACACACACACACACACACACACACACACACACACACACACACGGTGGGCTGGATTTGGTCTGTCCTGCTCTAATCTTTTTTATTTTTAATTTGTAATGAGAGCCTGTATTCAGAGCGTATATAGCGGCATGTGTAGGAACTACATGTTAAAACCGGCGGCTGTGTACCCACTAACCACCTTAAGAAATAGAATGTTGCCACTGCCTTTGGCTTTCTGTCCTGCCCTGACCACTTCTTCCTCTTCCATCTCTAGAAGGCAAACACTGCCCTACGTGTATCAATTTTTTGCTTTCTGGTGTTGCCATATGTGAACGTATCCTTATATACTGTAACTTAATTTTTTGCAAGTCTTTATATAAATAGAATCATTTTATTCTGTGACTCCCCCCTCCCCCACATTGTTTTTGAAATTCCTTTATTCAAATGTTTGAGTTACTTATTAAGTCTTCGGCACTAAGATGTATGTCTTGATGCTGGGTATGTTAGCATGAGTCTCTGCCCTCATGGAGCTTACATTTCAGGGGGGAAAGACAGTTAACAGGTTAAGTCAGAGATACAGCAGTAATATGGTGGGTGTTGTAGCAGGGAGAAAAGTGAAGCAGGCCAAGTGGGTGGATGGAGGCTGTGTGAAGATTGAAGGTGGTCAGGGTGGACCTCCCTGAGAGGGGGGCCTTTGAACAGGAGGTGCGGGAGGGAGCCCTGTGGCTGCAGGTGGGGTTGGGGTGGAGGTGTGGGAGGAGCCTTTCAGGCAGAGCCCTGCTGGCGGTGCTAAGAAGGGTTGTGCCTGCTCTGTTGAAGGGACACTGGAGAGCCCCGCTGGCTGGAGGGGGAGAGCCCAAGGGAGAGTGGCAGGAGGTAATGCCAGAGGGGGTAGCGGTGGTCCTTGGGAGCCAGTCACACGGGCCATTGTTAAGGATTTTATCTTTTTCTATGAGTGAGATGGGAAGTCATTATAGATAGTGTTTTGAGCAGAAGTGTGACATGGGAGATCTGATTTCTGTTTTCGGAAGGACCCCCTGAAGCTGTCAGGATAGCTGTCCCTGTGCCGCTGCAGGGTTCAGCAGAGCAGTGATGGCGGCGCAGGCTGAGGGGCACAGGGTGGCCATGAGAAGCGGTTGGGTTCTGGGTGCATCTTGAAGGCAGAGCTGACAGGGTTTTGGGGACAGATTGAATGTGGGCGTGAGAGCAGAGTGAAGGATGGTACTGGGGGCTTTGCTCGCAGTGGGAGTTGTCATCTGTGAAGAAAGGGAAGACTATGGGAGGTGTGGGTTGTGGATGTCATATCAAGAGTTGGGTTAAGCTTGGACATGGGGAGTTTATGGAGCTTTTAGAGAGCCAGCCAGACAACGTGCCGGATTCAGGTGTCTGGAGTTGAGGGGCGAGGTCTGGGCTGAAGCTGGAAATGTTGGAGGCTTCAGTGTCCAGATGACCCTTGAGCACGCTGAGGT